GGGGAATATTTTAGGATATGTGGACTTTGGTTTCAATACAAATTTTTCTTTTTGTTCGGGATATGAAGAATGTCCAAAAATTATAGTTTGGTAGTTGTAGTGAATGTTGGAACCCTTAGGTCCTACTGGAGTAACTTGATGTCTATATAGAAAATTTAGACTGTTCCCAAAAGGAGCAATTCCATTCAGCATTTTCCACACCAAGCCATTCATGTATTTAACAATTTTGGTATCTTTCATATGTTGGAAAATGTCCACTCCCAGAATTCATTGAATGTTTATTTGATCATTATGAGAAAAGACTAATTTATAATTTAATCTAATCAAATTCATTATCACTTGTCTGAAATCATTGAACTTGAATTGAATATCAAACTTATCGTCCAAAAAAATGGGAATAAGAAGTGGTTTCACTTTGCCTATATTTATGCCTAAATTTATGCCTAAAATGACTTTGTTCAGTTTTTTATTGGAATTACTTGTATAAGTTTTTACTTAGTATTTGCCAGGAGTTATACTCATGTCAGGACATTTTAACCTTTTTAATATTCATTTAGAGAAATATGACCGCTGGTTACATGTGTCCAATAAGCAGTTCAGAGGGACTTTCTTGACACCCCAATATAACATGATTTCTACAACAGGCAGCATTAATCTGTTTTCTTCATTTGTATTGGCACCTACATGAGTAAAAAAAGAGATATCCCCTTCTTACAATTATATCATAGTGACATTATATGTCATTTAGGTGGACATTGTTTACAGGAAAGGAATAATTTATTCTGAAGTCCAGGGCAATCTTCAGACTTTGCCTGTTACTGGAGCATCTAATACATAAATTTAAATATCTGCATCAAGCAGTTTGGGACTCAAAGGTATATTTTGTACACCTCCCCCATGATGCACAAAATTTACATGGTGTCCCATTAGAGCTAATGGCAAAATTCTGTAATGCTGCACCATTATTTTCCTTTTCATCAGAATTATTATCTTTAGTATCTTTTATATACATGGAAGGGCCTCTTATTCTTTGCTAATGTGTGGATGGCTTCATTATAATTTTCAAATACATCGTTTGAGGAAGGGTAACTGCTATCTACCTGTGAATGATTTCCCACCTAAAATTATGAGATAGCTTATCAAATACGATGTGGCTTACAGAGGAGTCTTCCTCAAAAAATTCATATCATACGAGGTTCTCAACTTGGACAAATCAGCCCTCACTTTGGCAAGATAATGTTTAACAGTCACAAAATCAGGGTCGTATTTGTGAGAACTGGTTATTATTTGTTTGAAGATCTCATGAATTATAGTTTTTAAAAGGCATATACAAAAATTATTTCATCAACAAACTTATAGCCACTCGTAATTGCCTTCTTCTAAGGTAACATTTAATATTAACTGTAGGTCATAACCAGCTAAATAACTCTTTAAAATGGCCAGCTTTGTTGTTAGAATTGATGGAATTAGTACAATTATTACACTATGTTATAAAATTCTTAAATTCATATTTAGACAGATTGACGCTGCTAAAAGTAGCAGACTGTAATTTGGAAGTTGAGATCATTGAATGGCAGTTACATTTGGAACCAGGGAAATGCTTGTTTCTTGAACAGAATCCTCAATATCAGCAAGTTGATTACTAATACTGCCTAGAAATCCAAATTTGTTCCTTTGTTCAGACACAAAACCACTTTCCCCTAAATCCAAGTTGGCTTTGATTTTACCATCCAAAGTTCGAATTTCTCCCTTTTTGATGATGGCTTCTTCCTCTTTAAAATTTTTCCCTTTAAGTTTTTATTTTGCTCCAGCAATTCCAAACTTAATATTATTTTTTTAAAATGCTCTTAGAGTCACTAGGGGTCTTCTTAACTCTTTTTAATTCCTTGTAGTTATTCATCATGAAATAATCAATGTATTAACTATTAACATTATTTTTTTTTAAATTGTATTTTGGACTCCACTTGTCCATAATTATTCCACTGAACGGGGAAAACAAAAATTATTTTAATTATGTTCTTGGACACACGTGTCCATAATAATCTCACTGAATTGTGAAGGCAAAAACTTACCGTGGTAAATTTGCTTTTTAAGCCCCGCACAGAAAATCTATTTAAAATTTTCCAAATCGTCATAAATGCCCGTCTGAACTAGAAAATAACGACCAAATTTTGATAAAAGCTACCGTTTTGTAGTTATCGACAATAAAAATTCGGACTCAGGCGCATTCATTCGTCCGCCATTACGGACCTTGTTTAACTACATTCACTGCAGAACACTTTGCTCGCGGTAGCGGCCTTTTTACTGCTCTTACACGCGTAAATTACTGCGCACTGTCGGAAAGCAATGGCAAGTGATAAATAAAGCTTTCCTTTTAAATAAATAAAAAAAAAATTAAATAAGAAAATAAAGCTTTTTTTTTTAAATTAAAAATAAAACAATAATTAAAAATAAATTTTACATTAAAAATAAAAAAATAATAATTAATGCACAAACTTTGCATGAACTTTGAAAAGAGACTAAAAAAACACTAACCCCTACCCCTGACTCCTAACCCTAAACCCTAACCGTTAGGGTTAGGGTTACCCTCTTTGAAAAGAGCATGATTACTAATCCTAAACCCTAACGCTAGGGGTTAGGGTTAGCCTAAACCTAACAGGGTTAGGGCTTGAGGGTAGGGGTTAGGGTTAGTAATCATGCTCTCTTCAAACTTCGTGCAAAATTTGCGTATTAATTATCATTTGTTTTATTTTTAATTTAATTTTTATTTTATTACTCAATTTGTTTTTTTTTATTTTAATTATATATATTATATTTTTGGACATACGTGTCCAGCATCAATCTGTAGCGGCCGACAGAGGTGTTGTTACATAAAATAAAAAAATATAAGGAATATATAGGAAGATATTGGCATCAAAAACTGAATTACAACAAAAGGCAGAGTTCTTAATAAACAGGTCAAAGTTTTATTATTGGCAAATAACCAAAAACTTAATTACAAATATGTCCATTTGTTTATTTGTACGAACTGAAAGGAGTCACCACCTGGTAAGGGATGAAATATTAAAAGCGCATAAAAAATGTTCCAAATGTAGTTAATTTAATAATCTTGAAAAGGAGCGAGGTAACCACAAGCAAGTGGTAAGTCTTTGGGAATGATAGTGCTTGACGAAAGGATAAGTTAAACTCAAATGAAATCACTTGAATAAAGTGATTTGGGATTAGTAAGTAAAATCAAAATATGGCGGCGTACTGAAAGAAGATGTCACACATGATATTTCGTTACATAAATCCAGAAATTGGCGGGAAACCAAATCCACAATGCCGTTTTGCTAAGCAGAATTCATTATGGCGACGTGATGATGAAAAAGAACGTCGAAATGTGGTGTGGTTACTAAGTAACCAAACATGATAGCATTATCCATTATGATGGTGTTTCTGCGAGCATATGTTAAAAGAATTAAAAACAATGAATAAATTAACAAAGCAACAAGATTTAAGTTGCTCAATGGAAATGACAGGTCAGTGCTTAGTCAAAGCTGGTCATGGCCTGTCCTAGCTGGTCCAGGCCGGAGCCAGTCCAAACTAGTCGTAGCCATGATCGAATCTCAGCCAAAGGCCGAGAAACGATCCAAATTTGTCAAAACTCGCCGAAATTCGTCGAGAGAGGATATTTACTTGACTCCGCACAGGGTCATGATGTGACACAAGGTAGGTTTAACGTGGGAGACCCGAGTGTTTCTACTCAAGGGCCACTGGTCCAAAACTGGTCATAGCATGTCCAAGCTGGTCAGAGCTTAGTCAAAGCTGGTCATGGCTTGTCTTAGCTAGTCGAGGCCGAAGCCAGTCCAAACTAGTCGTAGCCGTGATCGAATCTCAGCCAAAGGCAGAGAAACGAAATTCGTCGTGAGAGGATATTTACTTGACTCCCACAGGGTCAGGATATGACACAAGGTCGGTTTAACGCGGGAGACCCGAGTGTTTCCACACAAAGGGCCAAAAGGTCCAAAACTGGTCTTAGCATGTCCAAGCTGGTCAGAGGCTGGTCAGCGCTGGTAGGTGCACTGCTAGGTCATAGTGGGCCAGCAAATCTGCTCCGAGTATTGACGTTTTTACGTCTGTCCAGGTAAAATCACGCCGCATGCCGATGTTAAGAGTCAGTGTCTTGGTACCATATGTCTCGATCGTCGAGCCGTTTGCTGCCTGGAGCTTATACAGGGCCGCCTTTCGGTCTTGCTGTTCTCGGGGGGGTATCACGCTAATTACTGCTCCTGTGTCCACTAAAAACTTTATGTGGTTTCGTCGGTCCCATACGTAGAAAAGGCGGCTTCGTACGTTTTTACAGGCGGGTTCTGCCGCTCCTACCCGCCGGCAGTTTAGTTTTCCGACTTAGTTTTGGAGCTGTATTTGCAGGGTGCCGAGCAATGTCTTGCCCTGGTGCCGAATCTGTGGTGGTACCAGCATAATTCCGGGTCTACTCGTCGATCCCTGCTGGTACTCCGTACTCTCTGTCGCCAACCGCCAGTCGCCGGCCTCGAGCCTCTTGATTTGCGGGAAAGGAGCATTCGTATATCCTGCAGCTGATGTTGCAGGTCAGCTACTGCCTTTTCCAGATCTTTATCTTTGGCTGGTGTGTCGTCTGGGCGCTGCACGGCACACATTCCTTGGTCCAGTTTTGTTGCGATGCGGTTGGCGGAGTTTGCTAACTGGTCTAATGGAGTATTGTCAGCGATTGGCGCCAGTATCTGCGTTATTGTGGTGGGTAACTTGTCCATCCACTGTTCGCGCAAGATCGATTAGGCCATCGAATGTTTTCCTAGTCGGCTCCTCATGAAGCGTAGGTATGACAGTCGTGCAGGATCGCAGCTTGGTAGTTCTAATAAAAGGACTTTCGTAATAACGTGGCTAGAATAGTCCTGAAATCTCAAATCATGTAACCGGGTGTAGTCCGGAAAAACGACTAGTGCATATCATGTAACCGAGTGTAGTCCTGAAAAGGACTAGTGCATAACATGTAGCCAGGTGATGCTGCTGATACTGAAGTTGGGTCGGCCCGCTGCTGCTGCTGCTGAAGTTGGGTCGGCCTGTTGCTGCTGCTGCTGCTGAAGTTGGGTCGGTCTGCTGCTGCTACTGAAGCTGCGTCGGCGCGCTGCTGCTGAATCTGGGTCGGCCCGCTGCTGCTGCAGAATCTGGGTCGGCCCGCTGCTGCTGCTGCTGAAGCTGGGTCGGCCCGCTGCTACTGCTGCTGAAGCTGGGCCGGCCCGCTGATGCTGCTGATAGTACTGCTGATGCTGCTGCTGAAGCAGGGTCGGCCCGCTGATGCTGCTGCTATTGCTGCTGAAGCTGGGTCGGCCCGCTGATGATGCTGCTGCTGCTGAAGCTAGGTCAGCCCGCTGCTACTGCTGCTGCTGAAGCTGGGCCGGCCCGTTGATGCTGCTGGTTCGGCCTGCTGCTTCTGCTGAAGATGGGACGGGCCGCTGCTGCTGCTGCTAAAGCTGGGTCGGCCCGCGCAATGCTGCTGCTGCTGAAGCTGGGTCGGCCCGCTGCTGCTGCTGCTGAAGCTGGGTCGGCCCGCTAATGTTGCTGCTGCTGCTGAAGCTTGGTCGGCCTGCTGATGCTGCTGCTTCAGCTGGGTCGGCCTGCTGCTGCTTTACTTCAACGAATCCGTCTCTTAATCACTTTGAAATTATTACATGTAATTAACTAATAACTCAACCCCAGAAACAATTATTAAGAGAAGAAAAAAAACAAGAGAAAAAGAAAACTTATTTCTGGAATTACTCCGGAATCCCTTCTACCCAAGTAATTAGCACCTTCATCATAATTCTTTAGCACTGTTGATTACTAAATCCACCTCCTCTCTCTCTCTCTCTATGTCACAATTCCTCCCTTACCCACCTGTCATTTACTAGTAAATGACACGAGATGTCATACCAAAAATAAGACGATAATAGAAACAGGGTCTTTCAGCTGTCCTTGCTGGAAATTCATGGTTCTCCGGCAATCTGGTCTGACTTCAACTGCGAACAATTCTAGAAATAAAAACATGAACAAGAACAGACAAGAAAAAACGAAGTCGAGATATAGTGTTCCGAGTCCTTTTCTGTTTCCTTTCAGAGCCTCTTTATAAAGCACATTGTTGTGCTTTCACTGAATAAGGTTCATTGTTCAGATTTTCACATGCAAAACAAAAAAAGTTTGGTTACTATGAGAATATGTTTTCATTGATCTCACAACTATTGGTATTTCCATCCAGTTCACTACTTGGGATACTCCCATATCCTCACCAACTCATTTGTCTCTTCATTCGTCTACATATATGTAGCGGACCCCTCGAGCGCCCCTGTATCACAAAAGGGTGATGAGGTCACGAGAGGCCCGCTAGCATTTTCGAAGACGTTAAATCTGAAACAACATAGACGACAGAACGAGGATATATAAGATATAAGCTAATTTATTCTAGAAAAGTAATAAAGAAATAAAGGTGGTCGGAACGGTAGAGATGCAGATGTTCCGGTGCAGGCATTGATGGTCGAGGTTGGTTGTTACAGGTGTCGTTACAGGTGATCGCTGCTGGTCATGCAGGTGGTCGCTGCTGGTCGTTGCAGATGATCGCTGTTGTTGATGTTGATGTTTGTCGTTGCAGATGATCGCTGCTGGTCATTGTAGTTTGAGGTTGATGTTGGTCGTTGCCGGGATGCCAACTTGACGTGTTGGGAAAGAAAGAGGAGCTGGCGTTGCGATGTTGTTCGGACATGTCAAAGGTCCAGTGCAGGCGTTACGTGTCTGCTGGTCGAGTCCGATATTAGTAACCTCCCGTAATAATTACTAACGTAGTGTACGAGAAAGGTTATGGACGACGTGCAGGCAGCCAGTAGGGACGGAATGCCGAGAGTCGAACATTGGCAAGGAGCCAGAAGTAAGAGGCGAAAGAGAGAGAGAAGGAAAGTTTCCAACTATCGTCAAGTTGGCAGACAAAAAGAAATGGGAGCGTAACTTAATACACAGCCCGGTGGTCGACGTCCTGGCCACGGAGGCCAGGAGTCTGCATACCGACCGTTTCAGTCGCCGACTCTAAATTTAGCGAGAAGTCACTGTCTTGTGGTAAGGGAGACTAGCAAGAGAATTGGTAAGCTAACAGTAAAGTCTATCTAAAAAATGAGTAGAGCTTAGCTAAAAGAAGACCAAGGCCTAAAAATGCCTAGAAGTATATTACAACTAGATTCGTAATATAACTAAACTGAAAAGGTAACTTGCTAGTCTCTACCTCGGGTTAACAGCGTGTAGGGCGCACAACCGAAAAGTCAAGGTCGAAATGACCTGTTTCTTTTCCGGTTTAAGGAGCCAAAAATTAAACACTCCCTTTTTTTTCAACATTAACACATTGTTTTTTTTCAAAATCTTGTCTTACGAGTGGTCCGGGTCTTCACAACAGGCCTCGTTAGCCTTTTTACGGGTTCCAGTTCTCTCACAGCAGCCGTGGGCTGTTCTCCCACATCGGCTGCAGGTTCTAATGCATCTTGGTCGAGGTAATGCGCACCAATTGGGTTCCCAGCACGCTCCGCACTTCCACTTTCTGCCAGTTCAACTTCCACACTCGACATTCTCACTTGTCTCTTTTTCCACCACCACCAACTCAAAGAAGCCATACCTATAATTAATATAATCCTCACAACAGTTGGCCAGGTTACCATGGTAACCATTTTCTCTCTCCAGTCTGAGTCTTGCCTACCTAGCCTAGTTAATTCTAACTTCAGTCGCCCGAAATCAATCTTATCAACAGGTTTCAGTAACCCCGGCATTTTCCTTAACGAAAACTGAGGGAACTCTTTCGTAATTGTATCCCATAATTCAGCCCATCCAGTTTCATTTGATCCTATCAATTTCAACAACGCCTCATTCCCTTCGAATCTCTCTTCTGCTTGATAGTAGGGGGGTAATGATAGAATCAGCCCGTGTGCACCACAGCCAAGGGGTAAGGCTAAAATGGTCAAGGGAGAATAACTCTCATTGTCGTTTTCACCTCATTCTCGCAGACCTTAGAGAGCTCCATTTCACCCTGAGTGGCCACTGCCCATATCCCGTCTGCGGGTAGCATTACATCAGTCAGTAGCTCTACCTGGCAATGGTCTCTGATTCCTTTCTTATTTTTTCTGAATAAGTCTATCACACACAATTCATGGCTACCTGTTACATAAATGGGACTTGCAGACGCGCAATGGCCAGAGCATCATTCTCGCACCTCTGTGCTTCTTCCCTTGTCAGTAACATAAATTTTGTCCTTGCTATGTTTAGAGCGAGGAATTCTGACTCTACTTTGTACCTAGTCACTGCCTCTAAGCTTGGGGTTGGTTTTGGGTAAGGAAGACACAGATTTAATACCTGGTAAACTTCGAAAGTGCCGTCTCGGTTTAATAGGGGAACTGACACTAGTACTAGCAATTTACTTCTTTCCAACAAGGCACTATAATACTTCCATAACTGTTGAGTGGGGTCCGCCGGCAAACCAAGATGATGGGGGAGTTTGGACTGTATTTCCAGCAGTACCGCCCTTAGTCGTTCTGGGATTATTATACTCGGGGATAGGTGTCCCATAGACAGCATATCCAACTGTGCTCTCACATGTTCTAACAGCACTGTTAACAGATCCCAATTCTCCCTATTATGTTCTGCTAATTTAGCCAGCACATCAGCAAGAGTCTTATGGAATCTCTCCACCTTAGCATTACTCTGGGGATGGTATGGGGAGGTGGTTATGTGTTGAATATTTAGTTCTCCCAACGTCTCCCTCATAACCTGATTCACATTTTCCGAGCCGTTATACGTAACCAACTGTTCGGGAGCCCCATACCTGGGAAATATCTCGCCAAGTATTATCTCTGACACCGTTCGCGCCTTCTTATCAGGTATGGCGAATGCTTCAGGCCAACCTGTCAGCCAATCCACAAAACTTAATATGTAACAATTCCCTCTATCAGTTGGCCCATAAGGGCCTGAAATGTCTAAACTCATTTTCTGAAATAGGTAGTGGGGAATATCTGTTTCTAAAACCGGTGCAGCCTTACTTCCTCTACCCCGCACTTGACACGTTACACATTTCTTTACATAATCCACAACATCATTTAAACAAGTTGGGCCAATAGTAATTCCTCATTATCAACCCATGCGTCTTGTCAATCCCCACGTGTCCTAACTTTCTATGGCACTGATCTAAGATCTCAGACCTCAACTTTTCGGGTATCACCATCTTCAAGCTTACCTCCTCATCTTTCCCTGAAAGGTAATACATCATCCTGCAATACATATTTGGAGGTATTTCCTGCCTTTACCCTTGACCTAATGGCTGTTATGTCACTATCCCCTTGACTTTGCCTAACAATATCTATCCAGTGGGGGTCCGTAATGGTCTCTGTTTCACCCGCCTCCTGATCTCCCCAATTAGGTCTCCCTTCCAACCCGTGTGAGTTAATTACATTGATCTGGAAGGCCTTATCGTCCACACCTGGCTCTAACTTGATGGACTCCGTTTCCAACTGTGTCGGTATTTTCGATAGCAAATCAGCACAGGTGTTATTCCTCCCGGCTAGGTACTCTATTTTACAGTTGTACGCACTTAGCTTCAGCGCCCATTGTTGGATCTTTTTGTTCGTCCATTCTGCCTCTAGCAGGTATTTGAGGGGCTGGTGGTCTGTCTTAATGGTGAATATTGCCTCACTCAAATAATAATCCAAATTCAGCACAGCGTACAGGATGGCAAACGCCTCCCTCTCGATCACCGAACATCTTTGTTGGGTCTCGGAAAGCCGATGAGAAAGGAAATAGATTGGTACCTCTTCAGCCACACCCGGCACGGGTCCATCCTTATCAGGGCATGGTTGCGTGAGTACTGCTCCGATGCACCTATCACTAGCATCAGTGTACAGCACCATGGGCTTACCTAAGTCTGGGTACGCTAACAAGGGCACGGCAGTCAGCTGGTCCTTTAAAGCCTCAAACGCACGCTGGCAATCCTCTGTCCACCTAAACCTGGCGTATTTCTTCGTCAGGGCTATCAGAGGACACGCCAACCGACTAAATGCGGGTCTGAACCTCCTATAATATCCTATGGCCCCTAATCTCCCTTACAGTTTTCGGCGCGGGCATGGCCCTTATTATCTCTACTTTGTCTAGGTCGGTCTTTATCCCGTCCTTATTTATCACGAACCCTAGGTATTTTGTCTCTTAAAAACTGACATTTTGACAGCTTCAGCTTCAAGCCATGCCTCCTTAGGCGGTCGAACACCCGCTGCAGGTGTTCAAAATGCTCCTCAGGCGATTTCGAAAACACCATGATATCGTCTAGATATGCCATGGCAAACGTCTCCATGCCATTCAACGCTATAGACACCCGGGGCCAACCCAAACGGCATAACCCTAAAATTGAAAAGTCCCATGTGACAGGTGAACGCGGTCTTTTCTTGGTCCTCCTTGTTCAGGGCCACCTGCCAATAACCCGATCTCAAATCCAAGGTAGAAAAACACTTAGATTTCCCCAGGAGAGCCAAAATGTCATCAATCAGGGGGAGGGGCACTGCTAACGATTTTGTAATCGCGTTCAGCTGGCGAAAATCCACACAAAACCTGTGCCCTCTATCTTTCTTTTCAACTATCACGATAGAGAGATTTGGATCTCTCAATTATCCCAGAGTCCATCATCTCATTCACTGCCTCCTCTACTAATTTCCTTTTGTGGATTGGGGTTCTATATGGCCTTAACTTGATAGGTGGGGGTGGTCACCGGTGTCTATCCTCATCTCCACTGTCTCTGTCTGTCCTAGCTCCTTATCTGTCATTGCTATTACTTCCCAGTTTCTACTTAGCAAACCCCTTAATTCTCTTCTATAACATTCAGGGACTGTTATGTGCTCGTCCCTTAATTCGCCAATCTTTGTCTTGTTCCGAGACCTATCTTCGTTTCTTATCCTCACCTGTTCGACTTCCCTTACGGGGCAAGCCTGTACTAACTCTTCTCCTCGCTTTATTCTGACGGTTTTATTAGCCGAATTAGTCAGAAGCAGGGGGACGGTCCTTGATCCTTTCACTAATGAACTACACACTGTCACTTCTCCCTCATTATTATCATACCCGTCCGTAGGGGTTACCTGATACAAACCGTCATTCAGGGCTCCCTCTACTATAATTTCGCCTTCCCCAGATACAGTGGTTCTAGGGGCAACTTTATATCTGCCTGGGCTACTACAGGTAGCTGCTCATAATTGTCTTCTCTGGCGGTATCTCTACCCCGTCCAAGGTCAGGGTGGCTGGGTCGAAACGGATCTGGGCCTTGTGCTGTTTTAAGCCAGTCACTCCCCAGAATCAACTCGCCCCACGTCAGGTGCCACATACACTTTCATGATACCTCTAGTCCTTGCTGATTGAAACGGCAGCCATGTCATGCCCTCTATCCTCTTCTTACTGCTATCGGCCTGGCTTATGGATAAATCTACTGTCCTCAACTTTCCCCATCTCCCTGTCTGTAGGTCCTCGAACTAACCAGTGATACTGATGCTCCAGTATCAACCAGGACCCTAACCTTCCTGCCTCCCAGCAAGACATTGCAGGTGAGATCCTCCCCCACCCTTCAGCAAATGGTACACTCGGGCATCCCTTCCATCTTTCCTATTCGCCTCCATTCTGGACCACCGAGAGGCGGGGGCCAGCAACGGGGGTTCCTTATTTCTTCGACGTCCCATTTCTCGTCTGGGGGCCCGTCTGGGGTTTGGATGATAGCGCCCTTCCGCTCTATTCCTCTGTCCCCACATTTCATTCCTATCCCGGCCGGTTCGTCCTGGGGGACTCCCTCCCCTGTGGGGGCAGGCTCGCCTCATGTGACCTGCGCCCCCACAATGCCAGCATCTTCTCCGCTGACAATCGGCCGAAAAATGACCAACCACTCCACACGTCCAGAGGTCTTGCTCGGACCGGGGCCACTCTGCCTCCTACTCCTTCACGGGTGACCCAGCGGCGTTTCCCGGGCTCTTTGCTTTCCTTGTGGGTGGTAACAGCGCGTTAGTTCGCTTAATGTCTAATTTACGGTCCCCTGCCGCCGTACACCATCGAGCTTTGTGCACGTATTCACCACAGGTCGTACAATTGGGTCCCAGAGCCCTGGAGTCTCCTCCCCAATTGGTTGGATAGTCCCGAGCCCTGTGCCCAGCGTATTTACACGTCCAGCACACTATCCCATACCGGCCTAGCGTGGATTTATAGAATCCATACCGCAAGTCCCATTCTTGTTTATTCGGATCTGCCACCAATTCCCAATTTTCCTCTACTTCTTCTTCCGGGTCCCGTGCCCGAACCTGCTCCTTCATTTTCTTTATCTTGGTTCCCCTGGGGGTCCCTGGCTACACTGCCCCTTATTCTGTCCCAAAGTCGTTCACTGTTGCGAGCTGCTTCAATGGCCGTGGCCAGGGTGCTCGGTCTTTCCTTCAGGACGTCACCCCGCAGCTCCCTATCGCTCAACGCATCCATATATATGTCGGCTAACAGGGCCTGTATCGGACCACTGTTTCGGGTCGCCAGCTCCGGGAAAGCCAGTGCCGCTAAGCCCGCTATTCTTTCT